CCACTCCTCAGGGAGGGTGAGGCCTCCCATGGGGGATCATCAAAGTAGGGGGAGTCATTATGGTGTTAGGGAGAAAACTGGTACTAGGGAAATTCCCAGGAATCCACAAGGATGACCCCAGTTAACACTCCCAGAAGTAGTGGAGAGGGTGCCTGAACTGGCCTTCCCCTGTAATCAGATTGGTGAATACCCTTCATACAGTAACTGATGGAACCATATGCAGAGATCTACAACCAAGCACCAGGCTGAGATCCAGGAATCCCATCAAAGAGAGAGAGGAGAAAATTTATGAGCAAGGGAGGTCAAGATCGTGATGGAAAAATTTACAGAGACAGCTGAACCAAGCTCATGGTAACTCATGAACTCTAGACAAATAGCTATGGAGCCTCCTTGGGCAGAAACTAAGCCCTCTGCCTGTGTGTGATAGTTGTGTAGGTTGGTCTATCTGAGGAGCCCCTGCCAGTGGGACCAGGATCTTTCCCTGGTGCATGAGCTAGCTTTTTGGGACCCCATTCCCTATGATAGGATGCCTTGCTCAACCTTAATGCAGTGGGGAGGTATTAGTATTTAGACATCTGTACTGCCCTGTCCTTGGGGTTGCGACTGGATACACCCTTAGCTGCAGCCACTTAGAGCACCACCTGTGCATAGTCACTATGTTCCCTTTTAAAAGGACCCTGCCCACTACCTTTTTGCCTCTCTCCCATTCTTTCAATCTGCTTCTCTGGCTCTCCCCCACCTTCTGCAGCAATTGTCTCTAGAGGCCAGTCCCCCATCCCCTCCCCTTTTCTCATTCCCTTTCCCTGAATTGAAAAAAAAAAAAAAGTCCACATGAGTGAGCTCTGTCTTTCTTTTTTAAATTACAACAGGAAGGGCTTGGTCCTACCTTAACTTAATGTGCCAGGCTTTGTTGACTCCCCATGGGAGGCCTTACCCTATGGGAGGAGTAGGTAGGAGATGAGCTGGGAGACAGGGGGCAGGGAGAGGTGGGGAGAGAGAACTGTGGTTGGAATGTAAAATGAATTTTTTAAATAATAAATAATTTTTTAAAATCCATATGCAAAGAGGAATGGGTTTGAGCTTCACATCTTCAAAGCACAGAAAGGATGGAGTTTAGAAAGGATCAGTTTGGGACTTTATAGACTTACACTGACAGCTAGCATTCTAGCTTGCATGAGTGTTGCATGGATTTTAATTTATTGAAATCCATGATTTTGTTTTATAAATATCAGATAAATGATACTGGTGGTATTGGTGTTTGTAAATAAGGTTAAAATCGCTTCCATTAAACTTCTCAGGGCTATGGAATGACAATATTTGTTAGTTCATGAACTCTACTTTTCAAATATATAAAAGCTTCAGGTCTCAGCCATAGACTTTCTTATGTTTGACATACTGTGTAATTTTTCACTTAAGCTTGTACAATTATTTTTACCTATTGATACGTGAAAAAATGTTGTATGGACGCTCTGTGGAAGAGCTGACCATTGATAATAAAAATGGATTTCTAAAAACAAAACAGAACAAAATGCTGTGGAAAGGGAGTTGATTCTGGACTTAGAGAATCAAATTCAATAGGACTAAGATACTCTTACTGATATAATGCTTTCATATGTGACATCTTAGATGACTTCTGACTCCATAAAGATAAATGCCTGTTATACATTTCCCAATTGTCACACAGGGTTTACATACCCTATGAGATGCAGAATATTTCTAGGCAACTCTAAAAGCATTCTAATCTATCTTATTGTAAAAGTGTGTATATACATATTTATAACTTGTGTTATATGTTAGTTGAGGTGAAGGAACTTTATATTATAGAGAAAGAGTATACACTTCAGCTAATAAAGCCTGTTAAGAAAACATGAATAAGATATACTTTTGGGTAGGTTTAATAAGTTAAATTCATGTAACATATTTAAGAGTTAAGAATAAGGATTTTTTGATACTTAAATCCTAATCCTACCACCTAATTCCCATGTAGCCTTACTAACATATCTTAATTATCTTAAAGCTTATAGTTTAACCTTCAGCCAATATTGCCTATTTTAATAAATAGAACCTGTTTTGTAAGGAAGACTTGAAGATTAAGTGGTTTAACACCTAAGAAGCCGAAAGAGCTCGGCCCAGGAAGCCATCAGAATTTAGTGTATTATTTCAATGTGACTACTTCATAAAATTCTTTTCAAGTATTAATAAAATGTATAATCATAAGGTACATTGCAGTTGTACTTGTATTCAGTAATTTTCCTATGGGTAAAATAACAAGAACTACTAAATGTGGATGTGAGATTTTTATTATTTATTCATATTGTATGAATTAAGGAAATATGGGAAACTTTTGGAAAAATAACAGCACTACAGATGATTTTAGTTTAAGGCATAGCTTTATTTTAATGAAAGAATATGCTTGCACTTGACTTCATGGCGGTCTTAAAAATTATATACATTCACTATTTTAGAACTTTAAAAAATAATTACTGGTGATGATCAAATTTTTTATTTGATCTTTACTCTGGTGTTCCCATCACCATCTTGATGATTAAGTCTGAGCCATATAGAAATTTAAAACTCAATTTATCTGTGCTGTGCTTAAGTACAGATGTATAGAGGGAAAATTATGAATTCTAAGTATTGAGTAAGGTCAGCTTTTAACCTGAAAGTGTTCACATTAATTGTTCCCATGCTATCATCAAAAATAAAAGCAAACACAATAGAAAAGGACATGCCCTGCAAAGAACTTTCCAACTTTTGGAACTGGAAACTTTCAAGTTTCCTGAAAAATACACCTTAACTAATATCTATGTGCTTATTATCTAATTTTATTATCAACATTTGTTATACTTACTTCAGATGTTTTAATAATGCAAGAATTATTGCAGGTTCTTTTGGAGCCTTTAAAACCATTTCCTTGTCCACCTAGAATATTCACTAAATTTCATTTAATACTTATACTTCCTAAGTTTTACTGTGATACTAATATAGATGTCTTATATACAAATGTATCCAGTAATTTATACAATTATTTAATTATTTTAAATTCACATATATGATAACTTAACATTGATATGTTTATCTTTCTGGGAAACTTCAAACAAAAATGTTTTCAAGAATTTTATTTGATTCCTCCTGCTGCTTATTATTTTGTTGATTGAATGTATAAGCATATATTTATTTATTTATTTACTTCAGTAAAATTAATATTGTGATGAATATTTTTAAATAAATTTCATTTGTATAAGTGGGAGAAATTCTCTGGGGTAGAAGCAGAATTAGTATAATTGAACTATCCTGGGTGTGATGGGGAAGGGCCCAGGCCCAGCACAGGAAGATTTGGTGGACTTTGCAGAGCCCCTGTTGAGGGCCCCACCCTGCCTGGAGAGTGGTGGGTGGATGGGGTTGGGTGTAGGTTGGAGGTGGGGGAGGAGGGATGGGGGTGAGGAGAGGGAGAGGGAGAGGGGACTTATATGTGAAACAAGCTTGTTCCATAAAAAATATTATTAATAAAAAATATGAAAACAAACAAAAAAAGAAATATCCTGTGTGTGTGTATATATATAATAACTTGAACTTCACTAGATAGTGACTAAATATATGTAAATACTTATAATTCCATGAGATTTCTGTTTGTTAAAATCATTGTGTGTTTCTTCCAAAGTGTCTGTAGTTTATCAAATTTTGTTCTTATTTTTGTACACCAAAATGAGATGGTTAGAAGTGAGAAGGCCCTAGAGTCAGTTTGCCATGGTTGACACATGAGGTTTGATGAGACACAAAACCCATAGCTCAAATTTCATTACATATTACCTAAACTACAGCTTTCAAAAATCACAATGTTCTCCAAGAATAATTACATTATCTTGAAGTGGGAGGGGAATGGAATCTTAACTGTCTTTAAGGAAAAGTAACTAGTAGATTTAGACAAGAATCAGGACTTCCTAGTAAAGAGATGACACCCACCAGAAATAAGTTATTATTTCCTCAATGGCATATAAACTAAGATGGACAATCCAAAAAGAAGTTGAAATTAAGGAAAGACCTTGCCTGTAGGATCACCTGCTGTTAGTCATAGACAGTGGTTGCCTAGTTCCAACTCAGCCACTAGTCCATGCCAGCTATAGTTCATTTGGGTAGGTTTTCAACATAAGTTGTTATATGTATACGTACTATTTAGGTGTCTAATGACTACTTAGAGACAATGGAAGAATTGGAGATCCACTGAAATGCATCAAGTTACAATGAATGGAGGGAGACTTTTAATTTAGTTTCTATTTTAACGTCAACTAATGGTATAAGGCATTCAACCCTGCTTCATAACCATGGTAACTGTCATACTTTAAAGGGAGTTGTAAATTTCTCTTTGGGAAAGTTATTGAAATTACATCTTTTGTAAGAGCCATTTGTCCTTCTTTTTTCTGTAAATGCAATTATTGTTTTAACTTTTCTTTCTTTTTTAAAAACAAAAGAAAACAGGGTCTAATATAGTCCAAATTGGGTCCAAAGTAGCTATGTAGCTGAGAAAGCTGAACTCCTGTTTCAATCTGCAAATGCTGGTATTACACTCATGTGCCACAATTTCTGTCTCTTGATGTCATTACTTATTTTGGGTTGGGGGGGATAGTTTTGCTGACAGGATTAGGTGTAAAACTACCTGAAAGTTAAAGACTATATTATTTATGAAGCAAAAAGTTATTAACTTTATTATATAGTTAATGTATCTCCCACATTTGGGGAAAAGTGAGATTTCTAAAGTATAGTCCAAAGATCTGCAAGAATTTCTTTAAAAACATTTTCAGTAGTAGAAGCAAAACTCAAGACATCCAATATATCTTCAAACTATCATTACGTGTTCAACTGAAAGTTGAGTTTCAAGATACAATGACGGGAGGCCAAAGATCTGGCAAATGCTACATATCCTTTAGTTTGTCCAGGAATTCATCAGTTAAGGTAAAATGTCAAAAAAAAAAAAAAAACACTTTTTTTCTCTTCCAATTCAGTGCTGAGTACAAGAGGAGGACCAAATATGTCCAGAAAAGTCTTAATCCTGAATGGAATCAAACAGTAATTTACAAAAGTATTTCCATGGAGCAGGTATGTAATTATTATTTTATAAACGACAGATGTAGGGTGATGTTAAGTGTGGTGATGACGACATTACAGAAGAGTCAGACCTGTACCAAGGTTTCCCAAACACAGTAAGAGCTTGTCAGAGACACGTGAGAGCTGCAATCAGTGACAGTGAATGAGAAAAGTTCAAAGGTGAGGTGAAAAACAATTGCTCAGAATTGGACAAAGCAGCCAAAACGTGAACAGATAATTTAGTGAAATAAGGCTTTCAGAATATTTTAAAACTTAATATTTTTCAATAGACTGAATCAGATTTACACATTGGGAGGAAATATTTTCAACTCGCTATATTTGATTTTTTTTTCATAAGGAATGACAAGGAAAAAGTAAGATGGAATGCATAAAATGTGTTATTTATTGTACCCAGCTATGATTTAAGAATTCATTTCTGTGAATTGAAGCTTCCCAAGAGGAGAAAACTAAAATTTTCAGGAGACTACAATAAAACATGAAAACCAAAACAAGTGGTTGGAGACAAAATTGTATTAGTTTATATAAATCTTTAATTTAAAAGAATGTAAATTCCATAATTACCATGAATAGCAGTAGTACCTATTAGTTCAAAGTGTCAAATTCTGAGGAAAATTAGAAATAAACACAGAAAAGTCACTGGATGGTGCTGGCACACCCCTTTAATCCCAGAACTCAGGAAGCAGAGGCAGTTCTAGTTCAGCCTGATGAGTTCTGGGACAGCCAGCCAGGGAACACAGAGAAGCCCTGTCTCAAAAAAGGAGAGATAGAGACAGAGAGAGAGAGAGAGAGAGAGAGAGAGAGAGAGAGATATAAATATCATCCATATAAGATAATTTATAGAAAACAATCTTTCAAAATGAATTTCTGGTTTGCTCTCTGGAAGGTAAGTATGAATTTTATATTCATTGAATATAAAAGTTATCAGTGAATATTAATCTGAGTTTTTGAAGTGAGTTAAATTCTATGGAAGTAAAAATGCTTCGTTTCTGGTAATGATTGAGATGAAAATCTACATGCTTTAGATTCGTGGATCTCCTATATTTAATGAGTATAGACTGCTTTTTGTTAGATGATGAGTAAAGGCAAAACAACATGAACTGTGAACAGTTTATTCACAAAATAAAGAGGTCTATAATCAAACACTTGATTGAACTACAAATTAATAATCAAAATGTCATGCATCATTTAATATAAGGCCTTAAACAAAATATCAAGTATTTTCATAAAATAAGAGTTCAAGGTGAGAATCATCTATGAATATACTGAAATGCATGTTGGAGAAATGGGGCTGATGACAGCTGTATTCGAATGCAGCTCATGAAGAAGACATTGGAGGTGACAGTTTGGGATTATGACAGATTCTCTTCCAACGACTTCCTTGGAGAGGTAAGTCTTTCTTTTCCTTTTTTATGCTGTCATCATATGCAACTAGTTCAAGCATGATGAAAAATAATTTTTGAGTTTATACAATAGCCATTCCTGACCTACATCTTCTTGCAGGTAAGTTCATTTCCTGGGTTGTTATTTGAATGGTAAATAGAAGTTTGAGAAGTGATTTTTCAGTCTACCATTTGATGTACTTTTTAATTTATTTAAGATTAAATAGTTTTTCAGCAGGAAAATAAAAAAATCACAATGTGATTACATATGAGATCTGAGATAACAAAAGAAATAAAAACTAATCTGGGGTTTTTAAATGCAATATCACTTTTTTGAATTGCTTCTCCTTATATGTAGAGATGTAACATCTCACTTTGCTATTTATTATTATATATCATGCTTAAGATTTTTCAAATGTTTTAAAGTTAAAACTAGATGCAAGAGAAGACACTTGAAATAATTATTACGTAAATTTGTTAGAAACCACTTATGTCTAAGAATGGGATCTGGGGAAGAGTGAACAGACTTTTGGGTGTTTTCATCAACGTTATAAAACTATGAAGTTTATTTGGGGCTTTTAACTTAAACTATATGTATCTACACACTCACACACATTACATTAGTAAATGATTACCAGGAAATGTAAAGCATACAAAATGTGACCCCCTTCTTGATAGACACTATGTTGTATGTGGTGTCTCTGTAATGAGGGGTTCTTTGGAAATAAATTCATGATCCCTCTCTTTCCTGTCAAATCCACACCACTGAAGACTACCTTTCAGATTCTTTTCTAGTTCAGCCACTGAAACTAATGTCAGTTGTAGGCAGAATTATTCTAGAACAATAGGGTTGTATTTGATTTACTGTCATATTTCAAAGTATTGTCTTAGTGAAGTCCTTCTAATTTACTCTTTTGTTTATATGAGCCTAGATCATATATCTACATTACCAATTATTAAGAAAATGTAAGATAACAATGACTGTGATAAGATAACACACACTGTCTCATCAAAAAAGGAAGAATGTTAGATAAGTCATGACACAATGCTTTCTAGTCATCAGCTGGTAGTCATGTCTCTATTTAAAACATGAAAGTATATTTTAAATTGAAGAAATAAGCTGATAATTGCAAATTACTCATTCTTTTCATTCTTTTATTTTGTCCATTTTCTGATTAAAATCATACATTTGTTCTGAAGTAAAAAGTATTTGATAGAACAACACAAAATAACTTGTGTTTCATAAAAGGTTGACTTATGACTCTGATCTTTTCATACTACCCAAGTAAATTAGGGAATAGTCAAATTATATAGTTCAGTTTAATCACACATTTGTTAAGCATCTCAGTATCTTGGCTGAAGAAAACTTAGTAAATAAGCAAAAAAAGGTGAAGAAAGTGGCATTGCTATCCTTAATATTGTGTTTATTCATTTGGTTACATTCTTAGTAAGTTTTAGTTCATGGAAAAACTAATAAACCAGTTTTAGCTCAATCCATGCACTTTACTGCTTCCGTGTGTCCTTTTCCAGGTATTGATTGATCTATCTAGCACATCTCACCTGGACAACACTCCTCGGTGGTATCCGCTGAAAGAACAGACTGAGAGCATTGACCATGGCAAGTCTCACTCCAGTCAAAGCAGCCAGCAGTCACCAAAACCCTCTGTGATCAAAAGCAGAAGCCATGGGATCTTCCCTGATCCATCCAAGGGTAGGAGATGTTTCAAGTAGAACATAGTTGTTTGTCTGTTTGTTCAGTCATTACCCTTTTGAATTTGAGTGCCTCTGTGTTTTATCTACATTGTAAAGTTTAGTTCCACTGGGAAAAGTAACAGAATATCACAAAAAAGGGCACTCTGAATTAGGAAGAAGGTAACTTGAAGCACATATCATCACATACTGAGGTGTTAGCTTTGCCGTTGTCATTTTCTTATTTCATAAAAATGAGATTGGACAACATAAGTAAATTATATTTCTGAAAAACCCATAATAATAGAATTTTAGAAAATTCATTGAGCTATTTCATAAAACAATATAAAATCCCTTCTAACTTGTTGACTAAAAACATGACCATCATTACTATTAGGTATATTTCTTTTAATTGTTTATATCTCTGAATTCTTATACAGTCACACTACAAATAAAAGTTTGCATCCCACTTTTGCTTGTCCTATGAAGAACATTTTTCCCCATGTCATCAAAACAAATGGCAGTTCAAATTCCTCAAGTCTTTCCTGGATGTTGTATTCCAATGAACTTTTAATTGAATAATAGTGTCATACACACCTGGTTTAGCAAAATGCACAGCATTTTTATTGGAAAGAGTTTTCCTTTTATTTTTTAACAACTATTCTATAGCATGAGACTAATCCTCCCCATAATTGATAAATTCATCCATCTATATAGGATAAACATGTGGTGACCAGATACATTAATTATTTGTAAGTATTAAAGACAGTCAGTGAGCACTCCTTCCTTTTGAGAGTGCTTCTTATACATAAGAAGGACACAGATTGTGTGAAAATGTTTGAGAGGTTGAGAAGCCAAGATCACATCTATTAGGCCCATTGAGTTAATATAACTGAGAACCACTGACTACAAAGATTGCAGAAGATGATTTATGCCCACGTTTTTGTAGATTAGATTTGGATTCCATGTAGCCATTTCAACTTTGTCATACTCAACCTTCATGAAGATGATTAGCATCAAAATCTCCTTCTCCTTCTCAATCTAGTTTAGTTCTCTGCATCCATACCTGCTCAGAATCATGAGACAATGAATGGACAGACATTCCATTCCAGTATGTTCTAATCTGCTCATCCAGCATTTCACTGTGGTTTTATTTAAGTGTGTTCTGGAGCTGAAAAATTCACCGTCTTTTTCCAGCCTCTACTAGGATGGGTAGAGCTGTTAGTGAAGGGGCAAGCTGAGGCAGGCATCCATTATCCAAGGCTTCTTACAACTCACTCTTGATGAATGAGGCCCTTCTCCTGGCTGGGCTGACTTTGCTTCTTTCCCGGAACTGCTTTCCAAACCTTTAATCCCATTACTGCATAGTGTGAAGTTGTGTATGACCCATGAAAGATAGCATTAATGTAAATCTTAGGCAGTTTCAAATTCTGTGTAGGCTAGGCTTTGACAGCAGGCGGGGCCGGGGAGCAACCTTAACTCATTTTTTATCCTTTTGTAACCAGACATGCAAGTTCCCACCATTGAAAAATCCCACAGTAGTCCTGGTAGCTCAAAATCATCATCAGAAGGCCATCTCCGATCTCATGGACCATCTCGCAGTCAAAGCAAAACCAGTGTCACTCAAACCCACCTGGAAGATGCAGGGGCTGCCATAGCGGCCGCCGAAGCCGCCGTGCAACAACTCCGCATTCAACCAAGTAAAAGACGCAAATAAATTCCTCAGCATGGCAGCTTAATGTTCATCTGTTGCCTTTCTCTCCTGCTGTCTTTCCCTGTTTGCTTTGTTTTTTGGCATCCCCTGCTCAGTCTGTTCTTTGTCCTTTTGTCTGTGTAAGAACAGTATCAATACATAAATATGCTCTTCCTCCTTTAGTTTTTCATTTTCTTTTAATTTACATAGACAAATAAAACTGGCTGTTTCTCCGTTGTTCCCACCATCCATCCAACCTGGCTCATAGTATTTGGTAGTCCTGTCTGTAAGTTTGCAGGCAAAGCAGTGTTTTGTGTGTGTGTGTGTGTGTGTGTGTGTGTGTGTGTGTGTGTCTTTATGTGAACTTCCTTCTCCTTTAGAATATAGGAACTACAAGCGCAAGGGACTGCCAGTTTTCGAGCATTATCCCTCACAAAAGCAGGCATGGGTACACACACACACACACACACATATGTAAGTCAGGTTAACAATGAGATTCTTGGACGTAAAAACACTAACATTTAAGTAGATACTTAGTTTTGACAATAGTCAAATTCTAGAACCTGGGGTAAAAAGCCATTTGAAGCAAAGTTTAAAAACAGGATGTGTGAGAAAAGGAGCTAACATGTGTACCTCGATCTCCTGAAGAATCTGCAGAAGTTTGTATTCTCAAAAATACGCATTTTTCATATGCATTTAAGCTTATGTGATGAGGCAATATAATCTCATTGAGGGGCACAATCTGGTCCATTCTATTGGATCATGTTTTGTACAGAATAACAGAATTTACAGATTATTTTTCTCTAAACAGTGGACTGTTTTAAAAGTCAAGAAATTGTTAGGCCAGTAAAGTCTAGCCATTCCCTCATCTTAACTGATGGGTTTTCACTTGTGATACTTTCTGAGATGATTCTATAAAAACCTAAGCGCAGATGTTTCATGGCTATAGAGGTGCTGTCACCTCCAAGAAGCATCATCCAGGGGGGGGGGTGCAGCTTGTTGTTTTCCTCATCTCTCTGGTCATCATTTCCAAGGAAACAGCCAGTTTTAATTCCCTTCAGTGCTGTGCATGTGGTGTCATTTTGGCATTGGAAAACACAGTTTCACCAGAACAAAAAAGCCCACTTCTGTTTGCATGAATAACATTGAAGCTGGTTCCATCTGAGGATACACTCTGGGTTTCCATTTCACCCACACTGCCACAGCAGCACATAAAAGCGGTCAGTGTAACCATGCCAGGAAGCAGCACAGACACAGCATAGCAGGCGTCCTCCCCATTCAAAGAACTCAGTCTGATAATCTGCCTCCACCAGCCAATGGCAACCAAGACCAAAGCCAGCTAGCCCTCAGGAAAGTGATGTCTGATGGACCAGTCAAGCCAGAAGGAGGTGAGCAGAAAAGGCCCTGTTCAAAGCACACAGCAAGAACGTCCCCCGAAATTTAAAGCTCTCATCCTTAATCTTTAGGGTTTGTCTAATGCAATATGTTTATCCCCTTTTTAATGTGCTTTTGTGGGCATGGCATTTTAGGATTTCATCATCACCATGTAAGTCCCAAATCAGTCTCATAATATATTGACTACAGTGATTTGTATTTTTCTATGCACTGGGCGTCTTTTGAGTTTTGCTGGAAAATAGTTTAACAGTATTCATATTGCAGAATGGAATGCATGCTACTAACCTAATCTGTTCAAGCATGACTATAAAATATGTTGCATTGTGATAAAAGTTTACATTGCTCACAATTCAAGTTAGCATACCAGTTGGAATGTAGATAAGTTTTTGTTGCATATTATTTGACGTGTAACTCTTGGAAATACTTAGAGGAAAGCAAAGGAAAAATTGTTAATGCACTCATTCACCATGGCACAGAGGAAGTCCTCTCCTGAGCCTACAAGCAGACACCTGTGTGTGTTTCCTTAGCTGTTAAGTGTATCAGCTGTGTTTGGGCATGTGAATCTCCAAGTGCCTGTGTAATAAATAAAGTATCTTTATTTCATTCATAAACTATTGGGTTCTGAGCCATTGTTATATGATGCAGCATAAAATGATCGTGTCGGTTTTGTTTTCATTTTTTTCTCATTTAATTCCTTTCAGTAGGATGTGGTCACAGATACAAGCTAGTTAGATCTCTGATGACAGAAACATTTGGGAGCATAACAAAGTTTCACACTGGAACCAACCTGAGCCAGAAGGAAAAGCTTTTACAGAATAAAAACAGAGCTCACATGGCAACATAAATGATTGATGGGGATGGAAGAGTAGGCACTACTTTCACTAGTCCTAAACTCCCTCCCATCCCTTGCCTGGTCTAGTTTGACAGTCTTCTCAGATTTTTGCAAAGATGAAGGTAGATCCCCTTAGTCCCTGATTGGATATGCAGCTAATTTTGATGTCACAGCTGTAGTAAGGAAAGAGAAAGCTGATAACTATGGCTATCTTGACCCCAACATCTGAAGTTTCCACGCAACTAACAGTCACTGCCCATGATAGGAATTAAACTAGTATTGCTTTAAATTTTTGCTCCAAATTAATTCAAAGTCACATCTAAAACTAATTTATCTAAAATTAGAATTTTCCTGAAATACACAGATTTGCATATCTTCTATAAATCAAAATTATGCCTTTCATTCTCCTCTAACATTTTTGTTTATTCTCAGAAAGTTCAAGACATCTAATGTGCTCCACTCACGCACACCAGATATGTGAGGGCAATGAATGCCTGAGGCAACAGAGAGGCAAACCACCAAGGGCCTCCTTAGATTTCTAGTTGGCTAAGGAAGCAGATAGCTTAAGCACAGCACTGAGTGTATGTTTTCCAGCTCAGTTTAAAGACTGTCATCAGAGTGCAATCTTCTTTTCCTTGTCTTCCCAGAATATTCTGAACATACTTAAAATACTACTCCTTCCCAGACATAGTGCCAGATGCTTTTGATCCTCAGATGCATTTGGCACTCAGAGGTAGGCAGATCTTGTGAGTTCCAATGCACCCAGACCTATTCCTGACAAGATAAGGAAAAACAAAAAATAAATAAATTCTGTTTCTTACCTTTTATTCTATCAAATAAGTTGAGTTGATCTATAGTTACCCATTGTCTTACTGCATTGACATTAATGTCATAAAAGTCATATTTCTGCCTTATTTTAATATCATGATTAGTTGTTATATATACTTTTTGTAAGATTCTAATCTTAAATTATTTGTTCTTAAGGTATGTATGAAAATAATTTAACTCATTTTCTTTCAGTAATTCTCAAATACATATTTACATTTAAAGTGCTATAATTGAATTAGAAGTCACTTTTCATTGATTTCAAAATAGAATGAAAACTAAATAGCAGCACTTTTCTTATTTATTTTGCCTAATCAATGAAAAATTCCATTTTCTAAAATATACATATACCTTCCCTGCTTGTATAAGATCATAATAGTATAATTAAGCAATAATTCTGCCCAGTCTTTATCATAAACATACTATAGAATTAAATTTATGTAAATTAAACATTACTTACTTGGTCTAGAGAGTAAAGTGATCAGAATTGTGAATATACAACAAACTAGTAACACCCTGTTCATTCCTTCACTTTCTACAGAAGTAGTGGTGATATTTTTATATTTCATATGTTTGAATAAAACTATCATTTCAGTCCTCAAACTGTAGTTTATATAATCCCATTTACATTCTGAAAATAACAGTCAATTTAGATAGCTCTTAACATGGTACAAGGTGTTATGTCATTCATTTCTAATTTTATGACAAGAAGTGGATGAGGTAGTTATTCAACTGTTCTACCTGGTTGTATGGGTGAATAGTTAGGTGTCAGGGGGTAGGATGCTGAGCCCACAGCTCAATGTTTTGCCAGATGTCCCTGTAACACTTGTTTATGGCTTTGGATGCTTGCACTCTAAATATCATAGATCCTTTGAAATCAAACTCTCCTATTTTAAATAATCAATTGTGATTTATTTCTTTGTTACCACTAAACATCTTATAAATTATTAGAAATATCTAGAACTGATAACAAAAACAAATTTGACATTCTTAACTTACATGGTGCTGCTTCCACTGCACAAAGCACAGTCAGGCAGCAGGTAGGTCTCTAGAGGCAGCTGTGTGTGTATCTATAGGTAGTTCAATCAAAGGTGACAAAATTGTCCCTAAAGAGCTTTTCAAAAATTTTTATAAGCTTCTCAGCAGATCCTATGCTTGAACATAATATATGGGTCAAGCAAGAATTACAGAAAAAGCCAATGGAATTTTTCTATCCCTCTGGAGTTTAATTGCAGACAAGGAAATTTGGAAGTTAAGAACTAGACTGATTGCACCAAATCAGTGTGATGGAAAATACTGGATTTGTAATATGAAATCTTAGCAAGTGCAAGTGTTTTTTCTGTTTTGTTTTGTTAGTTTGTTTTCTTCCAGTTTCCTTGGTTGAACATATGCTCTATTATTCATAACAGGTTAGGAAGCAGTTTTGGTTACTTTTTTTCCTTTATGTTTTTTAATATAGATTTTTTGAGGCAAGTTCTTGCAGAGAAGCCATATAATCCAAAATAGCCAGAGATTCACTGTGGCCCAGGCTGGAGTATAAACTTTAATATACAGTTTTGAAGATCATACCAAAATTCAAACAAACATCAATATTCTTAGAATCTAGACAGTTAGCTTACTTGACAACTTATTATTGATTTTAAGTGCAATTTGCAACTTCCACACAAGTTTTGTTTGACACTAGGATTTGAAGTATGTATTTCAGGTTCAGATTTAGAGAATATAGGGTAAGTAGACATATCCTTCCTCTTAATCACTGGAATAAGGGTGATTGGAACTAATTGAAGAGGTGACAGGAGAAGACACAGTCTTCTGTGTCAGCTCTCAGAGATAGAGTTGAAAGTTTCTTGGTGTGGCCCAGTTGTATGAAGAAAGCCCAAACCTATTTCCACATGTGGCTGCTGGAGATACCACTGTCAATAACGCTCATTGTGAGGTGTTCCCTGTCCATCATAGCCTTGGCAAACTCTTTCCAAGCCATCAATCACTCTGTGGGAGTTGCTTTCTTGGAGAACTGGTAGTGGGTGGCTGGTTGGGAGAGGTTGGAGTCTGGAAGAGAAGAGAATTTCTGGTTACAATGTTAGTAGCTAACCAATGTCTCATTTTTTTTCTGATCCAAGTGACCTTAGTTTTGTCAGAAGGGATTTAATCTGTTCTATTCTGAAAAGGAAATGAAAAGTGAAAAACAAGACAAATGAAATGGTCATTTGGGGATGGGAGCTGTCTTAATTGGGGGTGTACAAGGTTAATAGACACAAATTTTACATTCTTTAACATATTTGCACAAAAATAAAAAGTCACATTAAAAAATAAAACTTTTGACAGTTTGAAACTAGAGGAAAATTGACACTGCAATCCTTTGAACAGAAAAAAATACTCCCCCCAAAAAAGGCTAAGAAAGTCAATATTCAAACTTCAAATTTTTCAGCTTTCAACAGTGCCTGTTACATTGGGTAGGGGCATTCTTTGTCTGTGAAAATCAAAATGCTTTCTGAGAGTTTGCACATCTTCTTAGAATGATTATATGTGTGATTTCAAATATTTTGTAAGCATTTAAGTTTATAACCAGAAATCTCTGCTATGCATGCAGAGTCACAGACAATGACTGTAGTTCTAACCATATGATACTATTATTGATGAGCTTGTCTTCCTAAAGCTGAATACATGATCCCCCATCAGTGGGTACTTTTATTCTTTTCTAGTCATAGTTATGTGTGTCCAACACATTCACATAATTTGAATTTATCAACCTTGGTAATTTTCATCCATTTAATTTCATAAGACTAGTAACATCCACTATCCTTAAATATAAAACTTGTTTTCAATGTTGTTATACCTTAGCCTACTGACTAAATCTGGAACTAAATAACAAAGATGAGAATATTGATCTGTCCCAACATGCAGGACTTCAACCTGGGGCAAGAGAGTCAGGGATAGGAAATGGGGACAAGAGTGCAGAAAGAATGACCACAAGACAGGATTCTGATCAAGTGGCAAACTTTACTTTTCTCAGGTTAGCTTGTATAGTCGGCAGAGCAGGATATGAGGAGGGGTAGAATGGGTTGTTTGTGAGCCAGGTGTTAGTGTAGGCAGGATATTAGGAAGCCACAAAGAGGATGTTTGGCAGGGTAAAGAGTTCATGAGTAAAAGGTCCAGGAAGGGGTTGCCTAGGTGACTGAGCCTATGGGTGGAGGACTGGGTCAAGCTGTTTCTTTTCTTGAGCTGAGGTTCTAAGGAGCTGCAATGTAAAGGTTAATATACAACTATGTGGCCGGCCAAGAATGGCCTAGGATCTCATGCTAAGCCTTGAGATTTGGCTCCCAACATTGATCAATGATCTAAAAAGTCCTAGTTTCAACAGAAAAAGACTTATTAAATACTACTTAGGCCTATGGCAAGCCATAATCATGAAACCCAATTTTAAAATATACATTACTTTACCATGGGTTTGACCAATTGTTTTCAAAACATTGATCAACTTAGCACCATAAGGCAGCTTATAAGAAAATAAAGCAGGCAAATAAATAAAGGAAGAACTCATGGGACTCAGATAGCAGAGTCAAAACAGAATAGGGACACTAGATATGAATACAGGGCCAAAGAACTTTATCATGTGGGAGGAAAAGCCATGGAACTACCAAAGGAGAGATAAAATATTGCCCGAGACACTATTGGACAACTTAACAAGATTTCTTAAATCAAATATCAAACAGCCCATAAATGAATTGATAATTTTACTACTTTTATCTACACATATTATACACATAACCAAAAACAAAGCTTGACCCTTTTCTCACTGGGCTAGTGTAAGAGGAGTTACAGGTGTGAAATAAGATGAAGGGAATCTTCATCCTGTCAAAATATTTATTTTATTGTAATTCCATATTTGATATATAATTGGATGCCAAGAAACTATAAAATGTTTCTTCAGGAGATAACAGAAATGCAGAACTTTGATTGGGATTATGAGTTTGTTAAATATGTCAAGAGAAGTAACAAAAATACGACTATGTAGCTTCACAATCAAATCAATTTATGTCCACATTCTTCTTGTGACCAAGTATACTGAAAATAAAACTAATAAATTAGTAGTACTTTGACCAAAAAATAATTAAATAATAATTTTACAAATAGTAAAAGGCAGAAAATAGTTAAGCATGATACATGATAAAGGTTACAGGCATGGATGCATTTTTTAAAAATACAAGAAGAGAAAATAAAAGCTTGCCTTTTTGTTCTTCAAAGAGCATAACATCAAAGTCTGCTTTTCCTAATTAAACAACTCAATTTCAAAACTACACACTTCCTAGTTTTAGTCACTATTTTCACTTGATACACACAAAAAAATGGACATTTCTTTAACTCGAGCTAAAATTTCTTTCAATATAGGTAAATATATATTCTTAATTTTTAGTTATTTTGATGTGTTCTTCATGTTAAAAATATTACTTACCTAAAATAAATATCAGGTAAATATCAGCCAGCTATTAATTTGTAAGAATATTTAACAGACTTCATGTAGAATCAATAATAATTTATATTGTTTTATATCTTCTGGTTATCAATATTTACTCTAAGATTTCTTGTATTACAAAACAGTTGGTTTGTTACCTTTCTTTTGTTCAAAGCAAGGAGAAAAGTCAAGTTTTTATATTAAACATACTTTCTAGTTCAGACCATAACACTTGTCGCTAGAGTCATAGCGACTTCATTCTGAATGAAGCAAGTTCTGAAGAAACAAAAGGTGAAAGAAAGACATCATCAAATGATGTATGCATTAATGTATCTGATGCCGCCATACATGATTAATGTATATGATGGTGCCAGATGATTGATGATTGTCAAGAAAGTTTTTGCTAAATGGTATCAATTTGTGTTCACAATTAGTTCTCATTTCATCACTGTAAGTTCTCACTAATGTAACCAATCACCAAGAAAGTCCCATCCTTTCTAGCACTCTTTAAGAAAAGTCAAATATTCATATTAAAATATTAGTCAGTTTTCATTCTCATTTCTTTCTCAAGTATGTAGTGAATTTTACAAAGGCTCCATAGCATAACATATTTTACTGATAATATGTCAATCATTCCAAGTTCTCATGATTTTACTCTGATAAATGTCAATATATTTTAACCTTCATAAATTCCCGAGTTATTAAATACATTTAAGCTTGTGTACACATTGTGTTTTAATTTATTAATTTTTTATTTTATATGCATTAGTGCTTTGCCATGGGTGTCAGGTCCTCTGGAACTGGAAATACAGACAGTTGTGAGCTGCCATGTGGGTGCTGGGAATTGAACCCAGGTCCTCTAAAAGAGCAGTCAGTGCTCTTAACCACTGAACAATTTCTCCAGCCCCCGTTGTCTGCTCTCACATTGTGTTTTAATGATAATCATCCCTGCATTCCTTCCCCTACAATACTCACACCTCCTATGCTCCCTTTATGCTTTAAAATGACTAAGTACAGCTAATGCCGCTAGTATGTGCATGAAAGTAGGACCAGCTCTTAGAACATGAGAATACTTCGGAGGCTACATCTCTGAAAAAATATAACTCTTCATCTCCCAACAACCAAAAAATAGCTTCTCAGCAAGGGGTGGGATTTCATGAACCCCTCTCCTTCAGATTATTAAGTAATTTTTAAGATATAGAAAGAATCATAAGAGCAATATGTATAAGATCAACCAAACGAATTTTTACAAACAATCATATATTTTTACATACCCAAAGACGGAGAATAGTAAAGCCTTTCTCTCAAGACCTGTGTACCTCATTTGTCTCTAAGTTTTCTGTGTCTCAGATATCTCTACTACATTTAAGGACATTTTTCACATTCCATTTAATACTAAATTATAATTATTAAGGGTTTCAAAAACACATTTTTAAATTTATGTAAAAAAGTTAATTTTCCCTGAGCATCAATTGGATCAAATTATGACAATATATCCAAATTCATTGCTTCTTCCTTGCTCTGACTAGTTAGTTGCCTGCCAGCTCTTATCATGCCATCCCAAGCCCAGCATGAAGTGATAATGCATTATAACAGTAGAATAAATTGTATTTCTCTTCATATCTTAAAAGACAGGTATATCATCTTTATTGCTCATCTTACATATTGAAATATCTGTTTTAGCATAAAATAAGGGAAATGAACATTCTCACTTTGATTCAAATTTAAAAAGAAATGGGAGAACATGAGTTTATGGCCAACCTGGGGCTACAAAGTCAGTTCTAGGCCACCCTGGCATACAGAGTGAGACTCACCCCAAAAACAAAACAGTAAAAAGGAGTGGAGAGAAATATTGAAAGTTTCTTACCATCTGATAAAATAAGGACCAGAATTTTCCCATATCCATTGTTACTCATATTCATACATATATCTGTTTAAGCACATTGCATTTTACAACAACTTCAAGCTGTGGTGATACTGCAGCAAACAAAATATAAATCTCCATCTTAAGACTCTTTCATCCTAGTTAGTAATATTTATTAAATAACCAGTTTATCAGTATCTGAGAAAAACTGAAGTAAGAGAAACTACACTTTCTCTAAGATCATCTGAAATGGAGATTGATTTGTAGTCAATGACTTGAGTTTTTAATGCAACCAAACTTCACCATCTTTAGAAATATGTGGAAATAAAATTGTTTTTTAATTTTTATTCTTATTTCTTTGAGAACTGTATATGTTATTGTATTCACCCTCACACATCTTTTCTCAAATTCCCCGCCTCACCTACCCAACTTTGTGTCCTGTTTTTAACTCCATCAAGATCGATATGTGTAGGGGAACCTGTAGCCATGCCTGCTTAGGGGCTGGCTACAGGTCTGCCTGACCACGCCTGCGAGGGCGTGGTCAGGGTGACATAGAGTAAGAGAGTCAGGTGGGTGGGCACTTTCGGTTTCACTTTTCCACTTGCTGTACAGACTGCTGCCATGTCGGCTGGCTAGGTCGCTCTGTAAGTAAGACTTTTCCCTATTATATACCCTTATATTTCTACTTGGATCTGTATTGGTAATTTCCCACTTTAGATATGTGCTGCACAAATGTTCTTGGATGTGCAGCCTTCCACTAGAATATGATTAAAGTACCAGTGCTACACTATTAAAGAAAACTGACCCTTCCTTTCTCAGAAGATAACAATTGCCAATAGCTCCGCAAATATGTGTGAGATTTCATGCCCAAGTCCCTTCTCTGCACTGGACTTTGGTCTGGCTTGAAATGCACAGGTTTTGTGCATACTGACACGACCACTGTGAGTCCATATGTACAACTGCTCTACCATATATAGAAGATACTGTTTTCCTGTAGTCATCATTGACCCCAGCTGTGGGACTCTTTCTGCTCTCGCTTCAGCAATGGTTACTGAGCCTTGGGAAGTGAGAGTGAGGGCTCATCATTCTTCAGTCTCTTACTCTCTGCACCTTGGCCTGTTGTAGATCTTTGTATTAATTACCATCTTCTATAACAAAAGCCTTCTTTGAAGAGGGTTGAGCGACCCATTAATCTATGGGTACAATGATAAATCATTAGGAGTCAGTTTAATGCTATGTCCATTTAGCAGAATATAGTGGTAGGTAATTGTTCTAACCCAGCTCTGAGTCTCTATTGTATTTTGCATTCCATTGGAACCAACTACAAGAGGAAATTTTAAAAAGAGGCTAGATCTGCTGGTTCTACACATGCATTAATCAAATGTTTTCTAGGCTTCCTCTCTACAACCATTGAATAAATTTAAGCATTATGGAAAATAGTATTCAGTGTTGCTGCAGTATTATCCACAGATACTGATTTACTATTATTATTTTATTATTTCTAATGGGAATTTGCTACTTTATTTCCTTTGAGTTGAATTTTACACATTACAGATTGGTGGTATGGTAAAATGCTTCCCCAGCATGTATGAAGTTCTGAATTCAATTTGTAGAACAACACAAAATCCAAAATAAGCTGGTGGCCAAAACTGTAATCACAGCAAGATGATTGGAAGTTCAGTGTTGTTAGTCTTGGTATCTGGTTAGCTCAGCTTGAGGTACATAAGAACCTTTCTCAGATACAAATAAATAAATGATAAAAATGATAAACTATTTGAGTTTTGCTTAAGGGTAACATCTTGGTTATCAAAATATTTATTATGGCTATTTCTAGAAGTACTTTCCAATCAGTTGGATCACTATCAAGTGCTTTCTTTTTCTGGGTAGTTTATTCCTTTTGGGTTATCAATTGTTAGAAATACAAGTCAGACAATGTATTTCCAGGATATAGTTAGCAAAACACAACAAAAATTATATTTCTTCTTCAAACACAAATCAAACTAATACTGAAAAAAGTTAAGAATTATCCATGAAAGTGAAAGCCTTTAAAATTATCTCATCTAAATATAGTCCACTTAGCACTAGTCTCTTATAGATAAAAATATTGAATTAGAGTCTTAGTGAAAAAACAATACTTCCTTTGGTATAGTGTTGGTTCAATCTATTTACTTGAATGCAGCTAAAATTAATATTATATTTATTCAAGATAAATGAATTGACTTTCTTAATTTTACTTGATGTATATTAGTTAAACTTCATTTCACTATTCAATATGAAATTTTAGTGTTAGTTTTAAAATGTGTTCAGGATTTTTCTTCCCAAATCAATTCTGAATTAAATGCTTCTCAGGAAAAGGAAGACATATTTAAAAGGGAAAATTATAGGATAGAGCCAAGTACTATAGTATATAAGCCATTGTATATAATTTATATATGAAAATCTCCTTCTTGTCTTAATATTAATTTGACTCTTATTTGTTATGTTAAGCACACCCTTACTTCTGTACTCCAAAGGGAACATTGATCTGTTTCTATAATGCCCCAGTGAATGATTACTGAGTATGGGAAAGACCTTCCAGTTACTAGTCGTATTAGATTAAAAAAACAGAGCAAACTGATCATTAAAATGTCTTGAAAATTTCATTCATTAAGGCAATATGTATGGAAAGGGGGTGCATATGAATATGATTAAGAGTGTTACAAATTTTCCTGTACAATATCAAAGGAGACATTCTATCTGTGTCTCTGGGGGGGGAAAAAAGCTCTGTGAAGGTAGACTAACTTAATTGTCTCCATGTTTTACAAGGAAAACAATAGCAGAACTTCATGGATCATGGTTTGTACAAGATATGAATACAGATCAGTCATTTGTATAGGATATGCTTAGGAGGACTACAATTAGTTGGCTAGTAGTTTGTTATTTAAAGACATTCTTGAGTTCTTCAACTCCAAAGTTTACAGTTGGTTGGAGATACTTACTTTCAGTAATTTCCATTGTGAAAACTTATAACATGGGGCATGTGTGCTTTCCTGCATTTCCATGGCTCTCTGTGCCATTTTCCACTTTAGAAACTACAATGTTTCCAAATACACTGAAATTGATTTAGGACAGATTTATCTTCTAAAACACTATAAAATGCAGCATCACCCCTTAAATTAATAATCCTGAACTGTAATGGGAATTTCCCAAACACATGATCAGACAAAAAAAACCAAGGGTAAATATACTGAAGAATGCTAGTCATATTTGAACTTAAAAGCTGACACTTTCAATTCCACATTCAATGAGCATTTTAGAAAAAGAAACAAAATGGAAAATCCCTTCAGGAGAGGAAGTACAAAAGCTACCAGCACCAGTAACATGGGAGGAAGCAAGGTTAAAAGAAGGCAGGGAGGGAGGCCGGCAGGGAGGGAGGGGCAGAGGGAAGGAGAGTTGAAGGTATGGAGGGAGGGACAGAAGGACTGAGGGAGGGAGGAAGATGGGTAGGCAGGGGAGGGAAGAAAGGAAGAAAAGGTCCCTAAAGTTTAAACCCAATTAAAAAATTCCTTAGAATACATGGTTTCAGAAATAGATAAATAGCTCTGTTCTGTCATATTACTGTAATAAACAAAACAGTAATTGATTTATTTCTTGAATTTCAAATATTCTCAAAATCCTACAGACTATGTCTATAAAGATAAGATTTAGTGTTGGATAAATCAAGTCATTCAGGAACTGGCTCCAAGCTGCCACAGTAAGGAGCTATGCCGGAAATACTTAACAAATAGGTCTTTGCTGCCCCAACAGTAAGACCAGTGATAAAATGTCCTAGGCAGCAAAGCCGAGTCTCTACTGAGCACTGAGTTCTAAATAACCAAAGTTACTTAGATTTTGTTTGTTTGAGACAAATAGATGTAATATAAAAAGAAATCAACAATTTTAAATTCTCCCATTAAGTGTGAGATATAACCAGTCATTTATCTTTACAGGAATTAGTTTTCCCACGGGAAAATGGTGGCTCTAGAGCAGGTGACATTTAGTGTTCTTATCCAGCCTCTAATGGCCAGGGTCCCACAGCTGCAATCAGTTCCAGAGTTTGGTGAGTTCTCTGGGATTAGTGCTGCCATCATGTGGTAGCCGGGTGAGAATGTTGCATAGTCAAGTCTGGAGGGGCAGGGCATCCCAACAGAGAGAACCAGATGAAGACAGATGTGCAAAGAGACAATATCATATTTAAGTAGGATTAGCCACCAGGAACTCATAAAACATAACAGCATCTTACCATACAACAGCCAAAGGCAATGACAAAGGGAAAGAATAATTTTAAACAGTTTGCATCCCCCCCCGAAATAAAAGGTAAAATGTTTACCTGAAATGGAAGGAATTGACTTTCTAAGGTGTTGCTCTTTACACAGCAGCAAGTGTTCCCATCATGTGTGTATTATTCAGCCCTTCCTGAAGTGTGGAACTCTGTGATCAGCATTTCAAAATGAAAGTAGATATCTAAGAATGATTCCAAAATATGTGTAGTATTTGTTAAAAACATCAATTCTCTTATGTAAAGATGATTTTACTATGCAGTACAAAGATGCATGCCTTCATGTAGAGTATTATATGAATTCTATGCAATACACAGGTGCATATCTTCATGTAGAGTATTATATTCTATGCAATACACAGGTGCATATCTTCATGTAGCATATTACATGAATTCTGAAACTCTGCTTCAAATAGTTGGGAGGAAAAGCAGATGTCAACTATTTCAAGCCATTATTTCAAAGATCCTAAGATCATGGAAGACCAAGCTTTTATTATTTCTATGTTATTTCACTCAAATGCAGGAAAACAAAGTGATACTAGACTTAAATCAAATTCAAAGGTCTTTGCCTATATACCAGTATAGGAAACAAACAATTCTAACATTTGTGAACATAATTCCTCCCACACAACATTACTATGAATAGTATTTTCTTCCATCATGCCAATGTAAATATTCATATGCTATACATGGTCTGCCATTACCTTATTGCTCTAAATAAACCTATGCCTTTTGATATTCAGTATATTAGCACTAAATACCTTCTTGAATCAAACCAGTTTTTGAGGACATTGGGATTAAAAATATGTTCAATAGATTATTTTTTCCACATGTTATAGCAGATAAAAATAGTCATGACTCATTTTAATAAGCTACAAAAACTCTGATTTCAACAGTTTTGGGGGAAAAAGAAAGAAAAATCATCTATATCAGTTGTCACTTTTTATGAGAAATGTGTATAATGTCTTTAAAACACACTATAGATAAAATATGAAATACTGACTGGTAGTTCATTATGGCATTCTTGGTGTTTGGTTTAGGGAAAAAATCATTGGCATTGCAATTCACTCATTCATTCATTCATTCATTCATTCATTCATTTGTTCCTTCATCAAATATTAATTGATCACTGTTTGAGATCAAGTATCTAAGGACTACCAGAGATGTGGCATTAATGTGATCACTCAAACTACAAAGTGGTCATTTCCATAAACGATACATTGACCATGCATAATGGAGCCTCCAGATCTAGGAATTGTTCTGATGAAAAGGAAATGGGAGATGCATGAAGCCCTTGATAACAGAAGTGACATTCACAAATCAGTTGAAATTACTATAGACATACATCCTATAAGGTAGCAACTCTGATATGAAGTGTACTTGCTCTTAGATAAAAGTTGTTTAAACCTAGTAAGATTAAGTTGTTTTAAATTATTGTCTATTGTCTTTGAAAACAGTACAATGATGTCAGTTTGGTGTTTTTATTTTCAGTTAACAAAATTAATGTTTTTCTTTCAGTATTCTATTATCCACTATTAAAATCCAGTGGGTTGGATTATTTACTGTCAATTTAAAGCATGACAACCTTTATTTGTCTAAATAAATGGGATAATCTGAATCATTATTGCTTGATTATGAAGTTTAACTAACATCGACCCATTCATAATTTAATATTCTAGTCATATAACTTTTATATTTTAAATTATACACTTAAAATATTTTCTTTAACACTAATTATGACATCTATGTTTTTTCTACATAAACTAAATAAAGTATTTAGCAAATATTAGAACTATTATTTTATACAAATCTGTACCTATGTAAGCAACTAGTATTTTATTGTTCACTACCACTCAGACCTTTTTTTAAGTAGCAGTTTTCAATTTGTAAGCATCAGATATATAACTGAGTTATATAAAAAATTCTTTTTTGTTCCCCTGTTCTGAGAAAGAAATTATACCATCATTGGAACAGATATGGAATTATTTGGTAGCTTGTTAAGAGCATCTTATTGCTGTAATGGAACAGGAAGGTATAGAGGAAAAGCTAAATTCTTCACAAGGCCTCCTAGTAGCTATGCTGCCTGCCCTCAGTTTATTGTATAATTTCTTTTGAGTTTTCTTTTTATGTAGCTATATTAGTTAGAAGTCCTCCAGACTAAGAATCATCATTATTATTGATTTCTTTATAGACCTTTCAATATGAAGTGATTGTCAACCCTTCCCCCAGGAGCATGAACACATTCAAATAAAAGACTAGTGATGGAACAGCAATATATGTAGTGAGGAAAAGGATGTTAAGTAATCTTGTATTTGGAATACATCTAGACTTAAAATCAGGTAAAATCCTTGCTAAAGACCAGGAAATCTCCAAGACACTAGTGAATTGCTATAGACCATAAATGCCAAGAAAGAAGTGAGAGCATGGGAATTAATATCCCCAGAGGAAAGAGAATAAACCACTGGGCTCCTGTTTTTACAATGTTAATCTCAGTCTTTAAAAGGTCATCATTATGATGGCACTGTTTCCGAGTAGAAGCTCAACTTCAGGTTCTACAGAGTGAGCATAGATCAGGAGAGGAAATGTCACTCAATCTGCCAAGGGATGCATATTTAGAGCTTCAAGTAATTGCTAGATCACTTTTTCGGCACAAATGTTGAGCAGGCAATGTCTTTCTTCTCTTCCTTCTTTGTGCATGGCAGACCCTGTCCCCATCTCCTTTCAGCCTAGAGCTCTTCCAGATGCCAGTGCTGTGCTCCAGGAGCATAACATATACCACATATGTGAATATGTTTATATCGGTGTGTGGACTCAGATATCCAAAATGGAAACTCATGAAAACTCTGAAACAAGTCCCCATATAAATTACAAAATACCCAAGGGAAAGAAACACCTTTAGATTTAAATACAAGAACATGTGGAGAGTTGGCAGAGCCACATGTGAAGTTTCTATTGTGCCAATGCCTTCCCCTTCTAATGAGATTATCTGGTTATTGACTATTAACGTGGAAAGCAATTAATTACCCAATTTCTTTTACTCTGTTACAATCTCTTCTCTGTGAAGTCTCCCAGCCCTACTCTTGCTTGCCAGAGCACTATTGTAATGTTGTACAAATAGCAAAAAGAAGTAGAAGAATGACATACTATTTATCTTAGTCAAAAAATGGGAAGGTTTTTCCCAGGACATTGTTTTTCATGAGTAATAAAAAAGTGAAGGCATTCCATATTGCCAGTGTGCATTACTGGATAAAGAAATGAAAAGGAGAGGCAGGTTGAGAAAGAGAGGACATTTTGTTTCCGCCGGTCCTTTCTATGAGTATTGTGTACATGTGTTAATTTTGCATTTGGAGCTAGATGTCAGCTTCACTTGTTGACTGTGGTGTTGGCTCTCCCCACATCATGCAGCAAAGCCCGCCAATCACCGGCCTGCAGAGAGCTCCGTGTCCACCGGCTCCTCTGGCAGCAGCGTCGGCAGTGGGTACAGCGTGGACAGTGAAGGCAGCGGCGGCGCAGCAGGGGAGACTAATCTACTTCCTATCCCAAGGATGTAAGTGGTTCTTTTATAAAAGCAAAACTACACTTTTAACAGCATCATGAGTAATTCGTCCTTAGCATTTCACAGGAGGAAAATAAGGCAGTTATCCAATTCTGAATCACTGTCCTTGGACATCTGAACTGCTGATGCCTACATAAGAACCAATTGTTCAGGGACGACTGGATTATTTCAATTAATTCTAAAGATGAATGCAAATGACTAGCATGATGACTTCATCTGCACTGCCTGCATTAAACAAGAAAGCTGTTAGAATAATAACTGAGCTAGGGCAGCCTCTGGAGCTCAGAGCCTTCATCACACAATGACCAGATACCAACCTTGATATTTGACATTAACACAGATTGTTTTGGTTTTTGGTTTTCTTTTTTCTTTTTTTTTTCCTAATCAGGAGAGATTTCACATTTAAAGAATTCATGGCATCTTGGAAACAGATGGCAAATTGGTATAATCGTTAAGACTTTTCAACTCTAAACCTGCGTGAGTTCTAAACTTGTTCCAGAAACATCCCTTCTCCGGGAATACAGCTCATTCATAATAGGTTAAGCCTCGTGACAGTAATATTGCAACTCACATGCAAAACTAAAGCAGATTGTGATAGAATGGATTTAGATAGATTGTAGATTATGTCTGTTCCAGTTTCAAAATCTAAACTTCTAGACCTTTCATTTTCCTTTCCATGAATTAATCTTTTGGGTTTGAAAACACTGCTAGGGTGTCCAAGATCTGTGAATAGATCACAGCTTGTAGAGCCTAAAGTATGCTTTTATAAGAACTTTGAACTATGGCTTTTGCCATTTTTGTTAAAGTGGAGGATATTTCATGACACATGAATAGTATATAAAAATGGCCTTTTATGATGGGCTATGTGGCTCCTTGCTGCTTTTGGGCTACAGGGCACAGTGGAGTTGCAATGAGAGCAAGCATCTAAAAGCACTCTAATCAAGACAGTTAAAGGTCTTTCCATTTTCTCCAATTGTGTGATATCCTCTTAGACAGTGGAAATTATTATTTTTGTATCAAGTATTATGAAAATATCCCCTTTAAACCCCACAGTAATTCTAATAGTTAGCCAATGTTTCATCTTAAGAAGGTAAACTAATAGGAAAAATAGAGTTTTATGGAGAATAATGCATGTGTTTTATAGCTTTCAAGTTACATTTTCCCCTACAGGAATCCTTGTTATATTACCAGTTCATCTGAGAGATTTTTCTTATATGACATTATCTTTTAAATTTAGTCCATGGATTCAATAAGAGTGGTTGCACTTAATTAATTCTGTTTATCGGGAAATCATTCCTAAAAAGAATCTAATCTCATTAATATTTCAGTTCTTATAATTTTGCTGGAATAAATAACATGAATTTAAGTGAATTCATAACACATATCTCTGGACTGTGATTACCATAGGAACTTTGGAGAGTATACTAAAAATAATCTAATCCCCTTCTAAAATGACTGGACCCTTCAGACCATATATTTTAGAACTGATGCTAAAATTGTAACTTTCAGATAATAAATTATCTTACTTCCTGAGTGTCTGCCTCGATGTCTAAGGGGAAAAAAATTCCCAACTGTTTTCTTATTCCATGTTTTTCTCATTAAAAAAGCATCTCTTGAAATTGTGTAGAAGACAATCATTTTACAATATAGATATACAAGGAAGTCTCCATTTAAGTGACTACACAAGATATATAAGAAATAATATTTGTTCCTTCTCTTCAGTGTCTCCTGTCTCATGCCATTGTTATTTTACCTAGAACAAGTGTTTCATAACTAAAGAGTGATTGACTTGGACATTAAAGGTCCATCATATGTTATCTGAAGACTCTGGGTTTCAGACAACTTGATGAAAACTCAAGAAAATTGCCTGCTTCACGTACTCAGAGCTGCCTTTGCTCTGAACTTCCTTTAGCTTCCCTGTATCAGTGTGTGCCAAGATTTCATGCTCTCTTCAAGGGAGCCTTACTGCACATTTTGATGCCTTTTAAAAACAAAACTCAGTTTTCATTGGAAGCAAAGACTTCAGTCATTATCATTAAAAAATAAAATTGATGATCAGATCTAATATTTACTTATTAAAACTAATGAAATTATAACAATTTTTACAAAATAATGTAATACAAGATAGAAATGACTTCAGTCCTCTGATCTGATGTCCAGGCAGTACTAAAGCGATCCTCATCCTTTGATGAGGTTTGCCTAGAACAAAATACATTTTAGTTCATCCTCCCAGAATCCATACTGCAGCTAAGCCCTAAGCTTTCCTTTCCTCTAACAGCAACAGAGGGAGCAGCATTAGTTTATCTAACCTAAGTAATTTCATCTAGACCATACACAGATATACAAACATGGATATACACATACTTGCAAATGTTAGGAATTACATAATCTGTATGCATGCGGTCCTCACATAATCACTAAATAGAAGTCTGTGCTTAAATATTTGATCTAAAATTTTTACAATGGAACAGTGTAATTAATGGCTTTGAAGATAAAACAATTAATAAATTTACATTTCTTTTTATTACATACAGAAATATTTCAGATTCTTTTCTGGAATATAGTGACAAGAGCATCTTTGTAAAGCAGTCTTTGAAAAGAAATATTAAGATTCTGAAGAAACAAGACTTGTTACAATTGTAGTAGATCCAGGAAATCAAAAATATTTTATGGAAATAAGAATTGTTAATAAACATTTATGTATCAGGATTATAATCTACAAGGTTGAGTATCCAGTCAGTCTTTGATACATGCTTCCATTTAGCATGTGTAAGTGTGTGTGTGTGTGTGTGTGTGTGTGTGTGTGTGTGTTTTATTTTTAAGACAGGGTCTCACTATGTAGCTTTGGCTGTCCTGAAACTCTCATTGTACACCAGGCTGGCCTCAAATTCACCAAGGTCTGCCTGCCTCTGCCTCCTAAGTGCTGGAACTAATGCTGTGTACCACCACATCCAGCTGCTTGTTTGAGTATTGTTGGATCTTGTTGTGATGGAATTTAAGTACATTTAAAAACAATCCAAATCCATTGCATGTCATGGAACCTTTCCTCCGACTGAAGCAAAAAAAAAAAACAAAAAAAAAAAACTACCTTACAGCCTTTTGGCTGTTACCCAACCAGCATTTTAACATCACAGCTTTTAAACTGCAATAAAGTTCTTTTACAATTGGCTTTACCAAAGCCTTGAGGAAGAGACTAAAAATCAGAGATAGATTTTTTGGTTAAATTAAAAGTTTCCATGTGCATTATCTAATTGTTAATTCTATGTAATTATTGAACATTTATAGTTACCTAGGCATTGAGCTCAACCTTCATAGACATTTTCCATTGTCTACTTATAAACAAACAAACAAATACATAAATAAATACAAAAGAAGAGTTCTTTGATTTAGATTCCACATGGCAATAGACAGCAGAATCATAAGCAAAGAGCAGACAGTGTGATGTAAAAACTATTTGTGTAACACATGAAAATATAGAAAGAAGCTAAAAATTTCATAAAATAGAATGAAAGTCTATGTTATTAAAGTATTTTAAGGTATAGTTTCTATTATCTAAATGTTGATGAAATCCATACAAAGTTTGAGGAAATATATACACTATGCAATGTTCAAGCCAAGATAAGAGTAAGTATTTCCCTCAAACATTGCTCAACTCTTCATGGTGAAAACATACAAAATCCTTTTAAGATTTTTTTTAGAATACCTTCTTATTATTAATTACCTTCAATATGCTGTAAAATATCATTCTAGAACTTATCTATCAGTAACTAACAACCCATTAAGCAGCCTTCTCTGTGTCTTCCACTCCTCATTCTCCCAGTATCTCATAGCAACAATATTGTGAGATGGAAATTTTTAGATTCTACATAAGAGTGATGTCTTACAATATGTATCTTCCAGTGCTTGGCTTATTTCACTTAACTCACTGTAATCTAGCTCCACCCTTATTGTTGCAAATAACTGGGTACAATTATTTGTGTGATTAAGTAGTGCCTTTGCTGCACACCTAGCATATTTTCTTTATGCATTCGTCAGGGAGAAAGTTACTGCCCCATCAGTGGGTTTGACACTGATATTTATTAATATTGTGGCCAGAGCTTCAATAAACACTGAAGTACACGTATCTATGATTATATTCCCTTTCTACGAATATTCACTTGTAGGACTGTGATACCACGTGGTCATTTGATTTTTACCTTTGTCAGTTGAGAATGTCTTTATTTCAGTGTTAGCTCTAGGATTTTTGTTGTGTTGTACATTTATAGTTTCTTTTTGTATACAATGCATGATGACTATATTCCTCTTGTCACCTTGTAAAGGTTTCTCTTTTTCTCAACTAGTCTTCTTCCAAACCCTACCAGGTTAATTTCCAGTTTTGTGTGTGCAAGTCATGCAGGTATTCATGGTTGCTACAAGTTTTTGAAAGCAAAAGCCATTTTATAGTATTTCTTCTGGTCCTCTGCCTCACACAGTCTTTTTGCCCCTTTTGAAGTGGGTGAAACAGATGTTACAGTTAGGGCCATGCAGTCCTATTGACACATAACTTTGAGGAGTTATGTGTCTCTGCATTGACCATGACACACTGCTAAAATTTACTTTTAATTTTTGAAGGTCCATACTGTTCCCCATAGTGGCTATACTGATTGAAATTTCCAAATAGTATGTAAGACTTCTCTCCTCTCCACACTCGTGCCAGAATCTGTTTGATTTGTCAAAATGTCTCTTCTAGAGGAATGTAAGATCTCACTGCTGTTTTGATTTGTTACCTGGTGATTAATGAGTGATGTTACATTTTTTTCATAAACTTATTGACCACTTATTATCATCTAAAAATATCAATTTAAGTTACAAACTTATTTCCATGTGTTATTTAATTCAGTACTTACTGTCTCACTAAAGAACCCATAGCACTTCATTATGATAAAGATGTAGCTCCTTGAGCTATAAGTTGAAAGCAAGGGTAAATGTTTAAGGATATGGATATGTTTGACTGGATTTTCTTATTGTGTACATATACATATAATGAAGAAGCACATAGTCTTTGCTAATGTGAGCTTTTTTAAAGTTGTGTGTTGAAAGATTTTTTTAAAGTGGGAGAAATCTAAAAATATCATGAGTTCAATTTTTATAAATGAGTTTATAAATAAAATGTGTTAATTTCTGTGATATTATATTTAGACTTACTAGGAATAATAATGAAGTCCCCATTCTAAAATTAACGTGACATAGCATAATTAACTGCTTGCATATTTGACACTCAAATCATCCACTGTTGATTCTGAATATATAATGTTATTTTATTGCTCCAAACCAAACCCAGTTTGAATTAGGGGGTTCATAACTAAAAATGCCATTCTTTTCTTTGAAACAGAGGAAAGATGGGACAAAATGGACAAGACCTTGTGAAACAGCCAGGAATGGGAGCAACAGACACAGAAGGTAAGTGACATTTACATTATTCAGTTGTGCCAGAATCAGTGTGCTACCCTATAAACTCATCTGTGTACAAATGGCAAAAGCACCAGATGGTAAATCGACATTTAGTGAGCAAGAATAACTTCGTGTTTATTAACTACTTGTCAATTTTCTCAATTGTATTTAACTATTTAGTACCTAAGGGTACCAAATCTTTAAAGAGGATCAAGAAGATGATGGGAAAGAGACTCAAAAGATTAGTGGGATAGAGTAGAGGACATAGGATCTAACACATGGATCTACAGACAGCTGAATTTTTACAAAGATTCCAAAAACACGCATTGGTGAAAATGTCTTCAGCAAATGATACTGGAAAATCATATTCACATGGAGAAGTGTGAAACTAGATCTCTCACCTTGTTCAAAAACTGACTTAAAGTACTTCAAAAATAATGTGAGACCAGAAGCTCTGTAACTGTCAGAGGGAATATGAGGAGCAGTGTCGAGCCCCAGGTTAAGGTAAGGGCTTCTGATGAAAAAGGCTCCAAAGCAAGGAAGTTATACCAAGAACTGAAAAAAAAAAACGAACTGACAAATGATATTGCATGAAATTTAAAAGCTTCTATATATCACAAAGGAACAAAAACATGACAGAATTAATCTCCATAATATGTAAAGCATAAAGAAACTATAAATAATATAAAAAACTAAATACCAAATCCCAAAGTAACTTCATAAGTCAATAAATGTGAAAATGAGAAAAAAAGAGTTGGTCCTCAACAGATAAAGTAAAAATTACCAATAAATATAAAAAATATTCAATATATTTAGCTATCAGAGAATACAAATAAAAATTACATTGAGTTTTCCTATTACCAAAGTCAGAATGTCTACCATCAAGAAAACAAACAGCTGCAAATGTTGAGAGGGATACAGGAGAGTAGGAAATACTTGTGCATTGCTGGTGACAATGTAAATTAGTCAAGCTATTATGAAATCATTATGGAGCTTCTGGAAAATGTTCCAGAAAGTGGAACTATGACATAATTTAGTTATACCATATCTTACATACATATTCAAAGAGGTCTAGGTCAACATGGCACAGGGACCATGTTTACAGAAACACTACTCAAAATAACTAAGTTAAAGAATTAACTTGGGTGTCTACCAGTAGTTAATACACAAATAAATATGGTATACATCCACAACTGCATTGTATTCACCCACAAAGATGAACTCAATCATTTCCTTCCCTGGAAAATAGATGCAGCTGGAGATTTTTTACATTGAACAAAACAAACCAGACGCTTAAACACAAATATCACATTTTCTCTCATTTGTGAATTATAGATTTTTATAGATATAATCACAATACAACAAAACCCCACAGAACATTAAAGCAGCTAAAGGGAAACTATAGGAAGGAAGGTGACCAGCGTCAAAGATGGTGTAGAGAGAGAGGGAGGGGAAGGGAGATAGAGGTGCAAATATGGTAAAAATTCATGATAGACTTAAAACTATCTTCTGGACTTCAAATTTGCCTTGAACAATTTGACAACAATGTAAAACTTTTAAAAGTATGCTTTCTTGAAATATAAAAAATTAGATTATTTTTAGGTTTGTTTATTTCATCTTCTTTTAAAATAATTTTTATTTAAATTAAATATAATCTTATTTTACATACCAATCCCAGTTCCCTCTCCCTCCTGTCCTTCCCTGCCCCACCACCACTCCCCATCCCACCCTCCATTTACTCCCCGAGAGGGTGAGGCCTTCCATGAGGGATCATCAAAGTCTGACACACCATTTGGGGAAGGAACTGGTTGAAGAAATAATGTTCCAGACCAAATAACAAACAGAGTTAGCATTGATGGAAACAATGGGAACAATTAAAGCTAGGGAAACAGCATTTACTAGATTGGTAGTTATTATTTATTGATAATTGCTAGGAGAGTTTCCTCTTCCTCCTTCACCTCCTATTCTTCCTCCTCCTTTTTTTCCCTTAGTCCTTCTTCTTCTTCTTCCTCCTCCTCCTCCTCCTCCTCCTCCTCCTCCTCCTCCTCCTCCTCTTCTTCTTCCTCCTTTTGGTTTGGTTTTCCATAGATGGTTTCTGTGTATATCCCTGACTGTCCTGATACTTGCTCTGTAAACCAGGCTGACCTAGAACTCAGATATCAGCTTTCCAAGCCCCCCAAGTGCTGGGTTAATGGTATGCACTACCACACTTGGCCTAGGTATTAGTTTCTTTAAGCCTGTGGTCCTGGTAGGAGGAACTCAGTCTAGTAAATGACTACATATACCCTAAGTTGCATGCCCTGCTCTCGTGGAACTCGATAGGATTTTAACACAGGGGGATACAAAGTATGGATGGGTATAGAATTTGGGAAGATATGTCAGGGGTTGGAAGAAGGGATGAATATGATTAAAATACAGTGTATGAAATTTTCAATAAAAATGTATGTTAAAAAAGCAACAATGAAAAAAGTAGTTAATTTCAGTGAAAACCAAATAAATGAACTAAAGAAGTCAATGGAATTTTCTCATTATCATTGTTTCAGCAGTAGTAAAACATAGTCAAGTTACTATAAATGCTAAATTAATTAAGATTGTTATGTAATGATATCATAAGAATAAGGAAGGACGGGAAGACTATTCATCTACTGAAATATATTTCTTTTAAAAATCAGTACATTATAAAGTAAATATGCATATATCTTATGCAAAATTCTTTTGAAAAATATGAAGGTGGAAAAATTAAAACAAGTTGGTGGGGTTTTCTCTGCAGTTTTATTTACAGGTTTTTCTTTGCAGTTTTACTAAACATTAAACAAAATGAACTATTGAGATGTGAAGTTTGGTCTTTTTAAAGAAGCCATACATATTAAGTGAGTGTGAAAAGATATAAGGATCAATAAGAACTTTGTGAATGAGGAAAAAGACTCACAAACTATACAGCTTTTCAATTTTATCCTGAATCATATGGCTGTCCAAATCTTTAAAATTTTTTAGTGGTAATGATTTTACCAAAGTACTGTGTTTTGCTCTGCTTTGGTTTTTGAGACAGGGTCTCACTGTATAGCCTTGGCTGGCCTGGACCTTGTTTTGTAGACCAGGCTGTTCTTGAACTCACAAATCTCAGCTCACCTGCTATGCCTCCAGTCCTGGAAAAGGCATACACCACCAAGCCTGGGCAGTTAAGTCTAGCACGCTCAGTAAAGACCTCTGCCCACCAGTGTTGTACAGAGTATTTCACTTGTAAGAAACCTGGCTTCAGATGGTGACGGATAATTGCAAAATCTCTGGAAATGAAGACCCTATGTGATGCAAACTACAGCATTATTTATTTTCACTCCAAATTATAAATATTAAGAACAAAAAAATCAGAATTTTGGAAAATGCTAAAGTTCATAAAAGTAAATCCGTTCTCTAGCCATTTAATTTACTGCTTTGTCTGGTAAAATGTATTTTTATTATTATGCAGCAAATCTTGGAAAATTACAGTTTTCTATAAAGGAAAATTTTATATATGAGTAAAACAAAATGTAGACCTGCAAAAGAAAAAAACAGAAAATTTCACAAAAGAAGATCTTCACCCCCAGTGTCACATCATTACAAAAGCAGCCCTACAGATAAGACTGTCATAGGGATATTAGATAATACACCCTGAAGAAATTGCACAGTGTTTGTTTGCTATATGTTGGTTGTTCTCCAAAGTAATCAATACACAGATTACACTGAAAAAGTGTGGGGGAGGAGACCATGTTGTTTAAGTCTTTTGTTGTCAATGAACTGCTCTCTGTCTAGGTAATCACACTTGAGAACTCCACAGGTACAGATGGAAACTGTTTTACCCAAAGCAGATGTTAACCTATGCAGGGAATAGCACACCCGTGTGACTTCTGTAATTTGCCTTGTACTCTGAAGCCCAGACAACTTTCAGGGATGTTATGGAATGCTGATTTGGCTGGCTTCTGCCTTACAGGGCTTATCAGAGTATTAGTGCAGTTGAAAGGTGTCCCTCTACACAGTGATTCGTTATTTTGAAAAATTATGTACATCATAGTGACAACAACAAAACTAACACAGATGCCATCTATTGGCCAAGTATTCTGCTAAGGTCTTTTTAAAAAATAATAACGCCTCCCAGTTATAATATATTATTGCCTGTGTCCAGCAAGGTACTAACAAAAAATACTCAAAATTGAACCTAGAAATCAAAACTTAGATGATAAACTAAAGGCAGAACCAAGCAGAATGACAGTTGTGAACCTAACATAAATATTTACACACAAATAATTGAGAATTTTAAAACAACATGCTTTGCACATACACATCAAACCAAGAATTTTGAGTATTTATGTTTCTCATATTTGCTAATGCATGGATTTTAAGGGGCTTACAATGTACGACTTGAGTAAAAAAGATATGACCTCATTTATAATTGATTTTAAATAGTAATTTCTAAGTCTTCCCTTTTGTAGTCTATATTATTTTGACTGAGCACACTAGGAGGTGACCAATGCTGCACTCCTTCCACAGACATGTTCATGAATAATTGGGATTAAATTCTCAGAGGTAAAGGCACATTGAGTATTAAGCTACTCTGTGTTTAGATTGAATTATGAAAGTTTTCTTGGAAGAAAAAGAATTTTTCAGATAGTTTTGAGAATAGGGAGAAACTTCATGGTCAAAACTTAAGAGACATGAAATACCATGTGATGAGCTTCCCCAAATCTCTGCCTGATTTTTTCATAATTTTGTTTTGTTTTGTTTCATTTTCTGGATGAAATAATGGATATAGGGCTCAAAGGGAGTCACATTTCAGATAATTTGTGCATCAGGAAGACTTTTGACCCACACTGTAGTTAGTCAGAAAAAGAAGGGAAATTTCACAACTTTGCCACAGTAAAGGATGGATTTCAAGGACTCATATCTGCATCAAGGGATTCATTAAAAAGTCAGTCAATGGTTTACATAAGAAATGGTGAGAAGTGGGGTGCAGGCAGATGCAGAGATGAAAAAAT